GAAGGTGTCATTGTATCAAGGAATTTGCCAGGCTGCAGCCACCCGGGGAGGTCTCCAAAGACACCTCCCATTGCGCTGGTGCCACCTCACCACCATGCAGGTGGAAAGGGTTCCATTCTACTGTGGAAGGAGGAAAAGCCAGAGCACCCTCCATCCTGAACTCCAAATGGGTTTGCAGCACTTGCACCAGGGTTTTCCTCCAAGCCCCTAGGCTGTCAGGATCCAACAAGGGCTGGCCACTATTCAACTGTGCAGCGAGTCTTGTCCTCCCACCTTCTGCCAGGAGTGGTGATTGGATCGCACACTGTGAAGCCATTCATAGAATCACACTGTCTATATCCACGGCCCCATGGGGCTGGATCCTCATTAATGTCACCTGTGAGGGGATATTCATATATGAATCTGAATAACCCCATCTCTAGTAAAAAGCATTTAAGTTTCAAGATTACATTTAAGGATCTTCAAGCAAAGCATGAGATTCTAGCAACAGGCAAAAGACAAAAGAATGTGGCTATTACAGCTAACTAAGATTCTATCAGCCACATGTGACAAACATGATGGCTCTAACCTACTCGCTAGCTGTTCTATCCAAAGGACTCATCTCTCCTCTTCTCAGCTACCTCTGTTTCCCCTTTCTCTTCCCAAGCTAAATATTTAAGCCCTTTCTTATGTTTTCAGGACTTGTCTTTCAGTTTATATTTTTCGGGGGAATTCTGGCCAAAAGATACTTCAAAGAGCCTTTGAAGCCCCTTTTGGATACTTGAGATAATCTGCCCTGGAGGCAGGAACTCTGTCTTTGTGTAACCAGTATATTACAGTAAGGGAACAGGTCAACTTGTGAATTGTCTTCTTCCCTTGTGGGGACAAACTGAGGTCTTCCTGGTTTTCTAATAATATATCTGTATGTAACTTTGTAACTTTATGGCTGGTGCTATCTCCTGAGCTCTCTCAGCACGGGTGCATCAGTGCTTGTGTCAACACAGGTGGGTCTGATCTACTAAATCTGAAACAAAAGATACTGAAGCTTCTGGAAACATTAGATCTCCAAGATGCCCACAGTGCAACAACACCCATGCAGACAGATTTTCTTAAGAACAAGGAAAAAAGTGAATCTCTAGCAAATAATAGTAATTATAGAACACTATACATTAACTTTTATACCTTACAACCAGTACTAGACCAGATATAGCTACCAGTTATGAATACGAAGCAGAAGAGTTAGTTCTCCAACTCAGGGTGACTGGACATCTGTAAGAATTTGAAAGCGACCATGGACTTTCAGTTCATACTGCCAGCCAGTGAAAAACTCGCTCCTGGGAACTATTCAGAAAGATAATAGTCTATCAATTGTCACAATGCTCTTATATAAATCCATGCTGCAAGTTTGAATATTGTCCAAGTCAAACCAGCTTCAAAAGAGGGGGGAGGGACAGAATGTAGGCCAACATAAGTGCAACAGCTTAAATCACAGCTGTGACTTGCCACTGGTTAAGGAGTCACCATTTGTAGTTACGATAACAATGCCAAAAATAGCACAGATCTTTAGAAAAGAGAGAGTATACAACTAAAAATCAATACAATAATACAGTTCTCACTGCATGCCACATTTGTGGCTTGGTGAGCACTGAGGAATACTAAGAATGACTGTTTAATTCATGGTAATTTGCCACTATGGTTTATACACCTGTGTATATAGGTAAAACAATTGTGGCCACAGCAGAGTGAAACAATTTCACTGAAGTGATCAGGAGTTAAGGAAATTTATAGATGTAGCAAAACTACAATATTTTATGCTTTCTGGTTTTTTAAAAAGAGGTTTATAGAATGATGCCTACTGTGGAAAAATATGTTTTCCCTCCTTTTTTACAGCTAAAACTCAAGGTCATCTACTAAATTGACTGGAAGCAGATTCTGTTCTGATGAAAATACTTTTCTTTTCACAATGCATAATCAATTCAATGGATTTCCTACCAGATACAATGAATGCTACCAGTGGGTTTTAAACGAGGATTAAACAAATTGAAAGAGCTCCAATAAGGGCTCATGAGTCATGACATTTATATGGAAACTTCATATTTGCATATTGTATGACACTGAATCCTAACTACTGGGGAGCATTAGCTAGAGTTGGCAATTGCCATTGTCTTTATGAGGCATACTAATACACAAGGCATCAGACTGGTCAATATGGAAAATGGGTGCCAGGTCTTTGGTCTGGTTCAAAGGCGCTCTTCTTTATGTTCCTGTATAATAGAACCATAGAATCATGAAGTTGGAAGGGGCCTATAAGGCTACTGATTCCAATCCACTGCTCAGTGCAAGAAAACAAATCAAAGGATGTCTGCCAGGTGGTTGTCTAAATTTCTCCAGTGCTGGAGCACTCACCACCTCTTGAGGTAATTGGTTCCATTCCCATACTGCTCTAACAGTAAGGAAGTGTTTCCTGATATTCAACTGAAATCTGGCTTCCTGTAACTTGAGCCCATTTTTGCATGTCCTGCACTCAGGGATTATTGAGAACAGATCCTGCCCCTCTGTATAACAGCCTTTCAAGTATTAGAAGAGTGCTATCACATCTCTCCTTATTTTCTCAAGGTTAAACATGCCCAGTTCTTTTAGTATTTCCTCATAAGGCTTAGTTTCCAGCTCCCTGATCATCCTTGTTGCCCTCCCCTGAACTTGTTCCAACTTGTCAGCACGCTTCTTGAAGTGCGGTGGACTGGACGCAGTACTCAAGATGAGGCCTAACCAATGCCGAATAGAGGGGAACTAGTATCTCATGGAATTCGGAGACTATACTTCTGTTAATGAAGCCGAAAAGAGCATTTGCCTTTTATGTAGTCACATTACATTGTTGGCTCATTTTCAGCTTGTGATCTAGAACAATTCCAAGATCCTTCTCAGCTGTAGTATTGCTCAGCCAGATATCTCCCATCTTATAATTCTGTGTTTGGCTTTTTTTTTCTTAGGTGCAGTATTTGGCATTTATCCCTGTTGAATTTCATTCTGTTCTTTTCAACCCAGTGCTCAAGCCTATCCAGATCATTTGGAATTTAATTTCTATCTTCCAGGGTGTTAGCTATTCCACCCAATTTTGTGTAATCCACAAATTTGATTAGCATTCCATGAATCCACTGATCCAGGTCATTAATAAAAATAAGAAGTCTGTCAAAGTACTAATTGGGGAAAAAATTAAATCTGAATTTTCATAGGTTTCCCATTTTGAGTTTTCACAATATAGAAAGGATGTTATTACTAACATTGTCCAGCTGCTATTCTCAAAAAATGGGGGTTCAGATCATATGTGGTGTAGGGTACAGGATGCCAATACTATCCTTTAATTTATATCACCAAATTCTAACAGTGTGACATATTTACCTCTGGGCAGTTCCCAAAATTTCAGACAGCCTCAACAGATTGCAAAGTCCAACCCTAGTAAACTCATATACTGTATTCAAAATTTCTATTTAATATTTAATTAAGAAAAGTATAAAGCCAATCTCCAATGTTGTTTTAAAACATAAGCACTATGAATTCTTACTATACAACTAGAGCAATGAAAGACCTAAAATATATTTGGAACAACTATTTCTGATATTTTAATCCTGCAAAAAAATCAAAATATTTGGAATAGGAAAGTGCTTATACCGCATGCAACTTTTAACTCATTTGGTAAAGAAATGAAGACATATATTTAGCTACTCATGTCAAGCACAATACTACTGGAGTAACAGGGACTTCTTCCCTCAGAATATTACTTTTACCAAAAGTAGGTAAACAGACAATGTTACCTTTACATTGCTCCTTAAACACTGTCATAGATAAGTGCAGAGTTTTTTAACTGTCCTGATTTTTAAAAAAAGAGTAATACCAACTTTGGTGAAACATACACAAACTTTATTATTTTGGTGACATAGCCCTGACTATGCTTCCCAGCACCAGCCAGCAGTTATGTATGGTATAATATTTTATGAGTGATAATTACTTTACTTCTCTCCTTTATATAGCTTAAGTCTGAATAGATCCTTGGTATCCCACATATTCCAAGAAAACTTTCCAGCTTCTTCACAAAAACAAAACACCCAGCTCTTCCTAATAACACAGCTCTTAAACTATTTCTAATCTCCCACACTTTTCCTTCACTCTCTCTGATGTCACTCTGAAAGCATCCTAGTTTTTTCTGTCTCTTAACCTAAACTCACTGTACTAAAAACTGAAATCAGCTAAAACTGATTTCTCTCACACACACTCATACATATCTATGTGTATCTATGTGTAGGTATTGGTATGTATGGTGAGTGATTGGATTTTGATTCATAGTGATAAGCTGGATGTGTGCCAGAACAGTTATAACTAGAGGGAAAATGAATATGTAATAAATGCAGACACACAGAATCTCTACACTCAGGCAGCCAATCAGAACCCACATTTCTCTTTCCTAACTGCTTACAACTCTTCTGACACACATCCAGCTTATCATAGCCAATCAAACCCCCATTACTCATCATGCATACCGACACCTACCTATATGTAAGATGCACGCAATGTGGAGTTGACACAGTTACCATCTTTTAATTTAATCTAATTTAAGAATTTTGATAAGGGCAAAATAAAGGGATATAACCAGGTATATTCAATGCAATTATTGCCGTCAAAGGAGTTCAGAGGGGTTTACACAATATCATTCCCCACGTCTTTAAAAGAATCTTCTTAGATGGAAAGATTGAGAGCAGCTCATGGCTAAGTGGGGATCTTAATCTAAAACATGACAATCTACATCACCATGAGCATCTAAATAACTGACTTATAACAACCTTAATAGAGCTTTCAAAATAAATGAGATAGGTAACAGGAGGCTTTTCTAATTCCACACCTGCAGTGAGCTTTTGTGGCTGAGCAATTCAAACCCATGCCTCCTGAGTCCTAGTTCATCACTCTATCCACCACATTGAACTGCTTATCCCTGAATTTAAAAAATAGTAAGAAAACAAACTCTGTACCACTCCCCACTCCTTCATGGTCCACCAATATAGACTGGTCACTGCTGAATTCTAGTTCTTCTACAGGAGCTCTCCCAGTTAGAACTGTAGTCTCAGGGATTGGTATAAACACTTCCATCAACAAGTTGGCACTGCCAAGTCCGATTGATTCATATAGCTGCGAGAAAAGAAAATAAGGTTTTTTATTTCCAGATACTATCGGATGTTCTCAAACTTAAAATAAATTTACATAACATCCTCTGCTACCTTGGAACTAAGTTCTCATGATAGTGAGCAAGACTACATATGTTTAAGGGTTTTGATGTTGTGCTAGCAGAAGGCAGAATTGCCTGCCTGTAACTGTAAGTAAATGTACAGATCCCATGAGGACTGCATGGCAGAAACCTCTAGAATAGCTGTGGGGACAAGACCCCTGTTCAGCAGCAGCTTGAAGTTATACACAGGAGAAAAAGAAACATTTTTCCTCCATTCTAAATTCTTCTTAGGTCTAGAAACAAAGGTGTATGGAATGGAGGTCACAGGCAAACACAACCAAACAACCCGAAAAACCTACAACAACCATCAGATCCCAGCTGTGAAAACCTTTGAGAATGCAAATTCTATTATTATTAACTGAAAATATTAAAACATAAGCTTGGTTTAAGAAGCAATATGTACTAATATGTCTTCAAATATATATGTTGAAGTTAAAACACTTAACTTCCATAAAATGGAAAGTGAATCTGCTCCTTATTTACCAGCTTCTCAAGCCATGGCTTGAATGAGGACAGTGCCACAAACAGTGGGGAACAAATATCTGGACTGCAGATGCTTCTTTGTATAATGGAGGTCACTGGCTCAGACTCATAGAGGTATCTAGTATGTGTATTCCTATCATAAAGATCAGTCAGTCATGCATGCAATTGGAGCATTTGGACATATATTGCTTCAAATCTTCAAATGCTTCGGGAGAGCTTACCATCTCCCAAGATAATTGATTCTTTTGTTGTGCTGAATTTTTTCCTGATATTGAACTCAAATCTGGCATCTTGTAACTTGAGCCCATTATTACAAAATGTGCACATATTTTTCTCATCTTGCACAACACAATATCAATTAGAGTGTTGAAATATAAAATCTGCAAGTGTTTAGAGACAGTGAAACAAGTGGGGAGGGTGGGTTGTATGAATACATGCACGGCCACTTAAAGAACCACAGTTACAGGTAAGTAACCTGTCCTTCATTGTGGCCTCCATGTATGGACATAAATAGGCAACTAGCAAGCTTTACAATTAGGAGATGGGTGTTAAGCCAAAATAGAAAAACACAGGCTTTCCAAAAGAGGTCTCTCTTTGTGTCATCAAATTCTATCTGTAGTAGTTCACAAATGACAATAGTTTAGACCAAGTGGCTACTGTAGGTTGTATAAAAAGTTACAAGGACAGGTGATCTCCTGACTGATAATCCACCGTGGCAGCTAGATAAACTTTTAGGGAAGAGACTGAAAGACCAGATTCTTTTATAAATGGAGGAGGGATTTCAAAATCATCTGCAGAGAAGGCTGCCACAGAGATGTATAGTCCAGGAATCTATTCCATTTGTAAGTGTAAAGTCAATTGGTTGAAGGCTTTCATGCATTCTGCAAGACATGTTTGATTAGTGGGATATCCTCCATGCAGTCAACATCTAAGTGTAGAATCATTCCTCAAATGTAAGAAAGATCATGATGTAGGGGTAGTCTGAGCCATCACACTGCCACTGTTGATGAGGCCACTAGGGTGTGATCAATATTATCTTCACTATGTCTTCCCATATTTTGACAATAGTCCACTGAATCAGTGGGAACATGTACATCAGTGACCTTTGCCATTTGATGGAATATTTCCCTCTGCTTGCCCTTGAACAGTACATATGGTATTTCTTCTTGTGATGAGTAGTGAAGACATCTACTTACCTCTCAGCAACCAATCAAAATCATCTGAGACAGTTCCCACTCAAGATTCTGCTTTTGTTACCTACTGAGGTCTGCTCTTTGGCTATCCATTCCCGTTACATGTACTGCTGTTGGGTAGAAGCGATTTGTTATGTACTACTACCATAGCACACCCATGGAGTACAGTAGAATAGAGACTTGTTCCCCCTCCCCCATTTATTCAGGTAATATATTGCAGTCATGTTGCCTTTATTTATTTATTTATTTATTTATTTATTTATTTATTTATTTATTTATTTATTTATTTATTTATTTATTGCATTTATATGCCGCCCATCTAGACATAGTCTACTCTGGGCGGCTCACAATTTAGAAGATAAAAACAATTTAAAATATACAGGTTTACATTAAAAACAAAATGATACAAAATGTAATATACATTTACGATTTTAACAGTTAATTTAAAGCAAAGAGTCCCAAGATGACAAGAATAAAAGAAGAAAAATAAAAATGACTTAATTGACTGAAGGGAAGGCCTGCTTGAATAGCCAAGTTTTCAGCTGGCTTTTGAAAATGCCCAGCGAGGGTGCCAGCCGAATTTCAGTGGGGAGGGTGTTCCACAGCCGAGGGGCCACCGCCGAGAAGGCCCGATTTCTTGTTTTTTCCTTCCGGGCCTCCCTCGGCGTCAGACCCCTCAGCCGTCCCTGCTGGCTGTGTCGGGTGATTCGGGTAGTTCTGGGTGGGAGAAGACGATCTGCCAGGTATTGAGGTCCCAAACCGTTTAGGGCTTTATATGTAATCATTAACACTTTGAAGTCAACGCGGAAACGGACGGGCAACCAGTGCAAAGCAGCCAGAGTGGGGGAGATATGTTGGTGTTTTCTCACCCCACTAAGAAGCCTGGCTGCCGCATTCTGGACCATCTGAAGTTTCCGCGTCAGCCTCAAAGGTAGCCCCACATAGAGTGCATTACAATGGTCTAGTCTTGAGATTACAAGCGCGTGGACTAGAGTAGTGAGGGCCCCCCCATCAAGATAGGGTCGCAGCTGGGCAATCCGCCATAGATGGAAATAGGCAGAGCGGGCCACGGACGCCACATGGGTTTCCATGGTAAGCGCCGGGTCCAGATGTACCCCCAAGCTGCGGACCTCACTCTTTGCGGCAAGGGTCGTCCCCCCAAAAGAAAGGGAGTTGCCTATACCACTGGTGGAAGGACCACCCACCCTCAAGATCTCCGTCTTGTCCGGGTTCAGCCTCAACCCGTTCGACTGCATCCATTCCAGTACAGTCTCCAGGCAGCGCTGAAGGGACAGTACGGCATCCACTGAGGTAGATGATTTGGTGATTTGGATGATTTGACCAGCTATCACCCTTTTGAATGCTCTCAGAGCTTTGTGAATCATAAGAAGCTCAAGGAAGTTGATATGATGAGACACCTTGTGTGGCATCCAGGTAGGTCCCTGCTACTGCACTGAGCTCCCCAACTAGTTTTGTTGCCATATGTGACAATCAGGAGAGCAGGTTTTCGCTGAGAGAATGGCATTCCAAACTGCAGATTATGCCAATTAATCCAACACCTCAGTTAAGCTTTGACTTGGGGCAAAAGAAACAGTGTTTTATTTGGCAGATCAATCCAATCATCATAAGTTACAGGGAGGAAAGACTGTAGGGGCCTCATTTTGAGTCTTCAATGAGCAATGACTGTTGTTGAGGCCATGAAGTCAAATAACCTCTCAACGGAATGCATAATTGCCTGACCTAACAGGACTACCTGTTTTATGGTCTGAATCATATCATGAACTCTTTTTGTATGGCTCGGAGGCCATTTGAAGTTGTACTGTATCATTTGTATTGATATTAGGTGAGATTTGTTGAGGTTTACTGGTAGACCTGTTGGTATATATATTTATACAACACAGAATTTGTATCTGTATATATGTATGTTTAAATGTGTTTCCTATTATTTGCACAGCAAATGATTCTGACCAATCAGAATGTATCAGGATGCTATACACTTACTGGTTTTAGCTTTTAAATCCTGTTTTTAATTATGTAAGCTTCCTTTGGTCCTTCTGGGGAGAAAAGGCAGGATAGAAATATTTACTGCAAGTAGCGTAAGATATTAAAGCCAGTCCTCTGAAATTGGACATGTCAGCTGATGTTAATAATAGCAGTCAGTGATTAGTATTTGTGCAATGCTAAAGGAAAAGGAAATTTTGGAAGATTTTTTTTTAGCAACTGGAGTTGATGGCAAAAGAAACTGATGATTTCAATCTCATTGAAGACTTTTTTTGAAACACCTAACACCAATGGATTTAACAGGCTCAATTTCCGCTGATGGTGCCCCCACGATGTTAGGTACGTTTTTGCATATATGAAGAAAGAAGCACAACACATTAAAATAACACATTGCATGTTGCACTGCCATGCACTCATATCAAAAACTTTGCCATAAAATTTAAAACAACACTTAGTGACTGCAGTAAATGTAGTAAATTATATCCAAGGTAAAGGTAAAGGTTCCCCTTGACATTTAGTCCAGTCGTTTCTAAGCCACAGAGCCTGCGTTTGTCCAACGACAGTTTCCGTGGTCACGTGGTCAGCACGATTAGACACGGTACGCTGTTACCTTCCCACCATGGTGGTACTTATTTATCTACTTGCATTTGCATGCTTTCGAACTGCTGGGTTGGCAGAAGCTGGGACAAGCGATGGGAGCTCACTCCGTCGCATGGATTCGATCTTACGATTGTAGGTCTTCTGACTTTGCAGCACAGAGGCTTCTGCAGTTTAACCCGCAGTGCCACCACGTCCCTACTATATCCAAGAACAAGCACCTATTGTATTTTTCGTGATTTTGTAGAAAAAAACGGTGCTGACCATACTGTGCTATTATATCACAATGCACAAAAAAATTACTCAGGTTTTTACTAACCAAAATTGTAATATAGTTAAAGACTGCAAGAAGAGATGCAATACTTCAAATGGCCTACTTAGCAGATATATTCACTCATCTGAATGAATTAAATATATCAATGCAAGGATATTGTAAAAACATAGTACAGTGGACCCTCTACTTATGGAAGTAATCCATATTGGAACAGTGGCTGCAGGTCGAAAAGTCTGTAGGTCGAGTCTCCACTGAGGAAGTGGGTGAAACATTTGATAAATAAATTGCAGGGTTTTTAAGAGACACAACGTAGTAGTGATGGGAAATTTCAATTATCCAGATATATGTTTGGAGG